ATAATGTATCTCTCCACTAGTCCCTGGGGTGCTCCAATAGTGCTGGTCAAAAAGCACGATGGCAGTCTCCATTTTTGCGTTGATTTTTGGCGCCTAAATAAAATCTCGGTAGCGGACGCCTACCCTCTCCCTCGTATGGACGAGTCATTGGATGCCCTGGCAGGGGCGCACTATTTCTCCACCTTGGACCTACTGTCGGGGTTTTGGCAACTCCCCCTCGACGAAGCGTCAAAACCTAAGACTGCTTTTCGGACACCACAGGGCCTTTTCGAGTTTAATAGATTGCCCATGGGTCTTCACTCGGCCCCAGCGACGTTCCAGAGGCTCATGGAGTTGGTCCTCGCTGGGCTCCAGTGGGACTCATGTCTCATTTATCTTGACGATGTCATCGTCTTTAGCCGCACGTTCGGCGAACACATCGAATGGTTGTGTGCTGTTTTCTTGAAAATGCGGGCTGCTAACTTAAAATTCAATCCGCAGAAGTGTCACCTTCTGCGTGAGTCTGTGCGCTATCTGGGCCACATAGTTTGCTGCTCGGGCATCTCTACTGACCCTGAAAAAAACAAATGTGTTCAACAATGGCCGACCCCTATATCTGAGGACGATGTTTGTAGTTTTATTGGTTTTGCGTCGTACTACCGCCGGTTTGTTGCTGGCTTCGCGACGATTGCCAAGCCGCTCCACGCCCTTACATCAAAAGGGGTGGCGTTTCATTTGGGGGATGCAGAACAGGCCGCGTTCGACTCCTTGCGGAACGCGCTCGTGACGGCACCGTCCCTTGCGACCCCGATTGTTCCGTGCCATTCGTGTTGGACACCGATGCTAGCAATACGGGGATTGGGGGTTTTCTATCCCAAAAAGTTGATGGCATTGAAAGGGTTGTTGCCTATGGTAGCAGAGTCTTGTCTCCTGCTGAACAAAGATACTGTGTGACCCGACGTGAGCTGCTGGCCATTGTTTTTTTTTTATTCAGCAATACAGGCCATACCTGTATGGTCAGCATTTTACCGTGCGATCTGATCATTCAGCTTTACAGTACGCTCTGCGGGTTGACCAACCGTCCGGGCAGCTTTCTTGGTGGCTCGAAGTCCTTCAGGACTACGATTTCAATGTCACTTACCGTAGGGGTGCACAACACACGAATGCCGATGCATTGTCTCGCCTCCCACCGGCTTAAAAATGTGCGTGTTTTTTTGGCTCGGGCCGTTGTAAGCCGCCACTGCCTGCGCAAGTCACGCCTCTCACAACGGTGTCAGCCGCACATCCCGCCACCTCAGCGCCGATGTTGGATCATGAAGATCCAATGGCCAGTGACGATTTGCTGGGGCTAACTTTGGCCGAATGGGGTCGGCACCAGAGCGATGACATGTCGTTACTGCGGTTGCGTTGCCACGCGAATAATGCGGCTCCAAGACAGGGCAAATTTAATTCATTCGTCATGAAGCACGGCTTGTTGATGCATTGGGATGCTGACTCGTGTCAACATAAAATCGTCGTGCCGTCTGCCTTGCGATGCAAAGCCATATGGGCAGCGCATGAGCGTTTATTACACCTGGGTGTTCATAAGACCATTGGGTTGTTGCGGTTGCAATTTTTATGGCTGGGCATGCTGCGCGACGTCACTGACATTTTGCTGGGATGCACCCATTGCGCGCAACGTAAACCGCCGGCTAAACCGGCATGTCCACCCCTGCAACCCATTTCGGTCTCTCGAATAAATGAGTTGGTGGCTCTCAATATTTTTGGCCCTTTTCCTACTATGCCACGGGGTAATAAGTACCTTCTGGTTGGGGTAGAGTATTTTATGCGGTGGCCTATGGCCTGGGCCCTCTCCAACCAGTCGGCGGCAGCCGTTGTGGACGCCTTTGTTCAGGGCTACGTCCTGGACAAGGGCGCACCAGAACGGTTGCTGAACGATCAGGGAAGAAACTTTTCTGGAGCCTTGCTGAATGATGTGTGCCGCCTGTTGGGCACTAAGAAAGTGCGCACTTCGCCCTACCATCCCCAGACCGACGGCATGATGGAGCGCCTTCATAGAACTCTCACCACTATATTATCCCATCAGGTCGATGAATCCCACCTCGATTGGGACTTGCAGGTTCCGGGGGTCCTCGCCGCATACCGTATGGCACCTCACGCGGCGACGGGATTTTCCCCGTTCTTTCTAATGTACGGCAGGGATGCCTTTCCTCCCGCAGATGTTCGGCTGGAAATCGAACAGCCACCGCAAAAGTCAAAGCTCGTTGATCACTTGCGATTCAACCTCCGTAAGTTGGCCGAGGCACGGGAGGCTGCCATTTAAAATTCGGCTTCCCACCAACGGGCGAATTTGCGACTGCGTGACCCTCGGACGTACACGCATCGGTGGGCACTGGGAGACAGGGCATGGCTCCACTGCCCCCAGGTGCCGGTGTCCACGTCGGCCAAACTTCTCAGACCATGGCGAGGCACGGTTGAGGCAGTGGAAGTCCTGCATCCCCAATGTGTTAAAATGCGCTGGGGACGGCGTCGCTGGTGCGTTCATCCTTCTCGGTTGAAACCCTTCGTCACGCCATGCATCCCTCCACAACACACACGACACGGGGTCCGAGTGTGCGACGCGTCCGACGAGCCAGATGTCGCCCCGTTGGTGCCTAACCGACAGCGCAGGCGTGTTATTCCTCCTGCAGATGACGCGGGAGTGACGGCTCCATGCAGGCCACGTTCGGCCTCAATAGACTGTGGAGCATCAGGTGTCCCCGTGGAGATGCCTAAAAGCCCACCGGATGCTCTTGCTCATCCTCCTCCTTCCCTTGTGCCGCCGACAAAGCCTGCCATCCCCTACGATGGTCCCGGGAAACACACGCACGCGAAATCTCGCTGGTTGTTATGATGTTCTTTGGCATGTCAAGTGCCTTGTACATGCGTTATGTTGTTAAGGGGGGTATTTATAGTGGTTTCATTGTTCTGTTGTTCATGAGGCACACTCACAATTATTCTACCGTTGGTAATTTCGGAGTTTCCCATTGTTGCAGCCAGAACGGCTAGAGCTTCCAAAGGAGGGGGTGATGTAGAAGTGTTAACTACGCGCTGTTGCGTAACCTGCATTGCCACCAGGGCAGTGCAGCATTACCCCTGGGTACAACAGTTGGGGTCAGTCGAGGTGAAACGGATCGTAGCCAGGGTTTGGTACGAACCAATCAGACAGTTCCACGTGGGAATGTATGATTGGTTCTGCCTGGCCACGAAGGGGTATAAGACGGGTGACGCAACGGACCTCAGGGGGGTTCTCTCCCTACACGAAGACAGAAGACTGGGCTGGAGCCTAGCTAGGACCCTGGACCAGCCTTCCAGCCCTTCTGAGGGCTAAGGCTCGGCATACCCAGTGATCAGAACCCACCGGGCCAGCGGTGGGTCAGATAGCCTCCCCTAGGTCCTAGCCGGAGGACTAGGATAGCGGTAGACGTGTGAGTCCCGCCAAGTCCGGAGGCTGTACCTCCTTAGGTATCAAGGAGGTTAGCGGTAGACGTGTGAGTCCCGCCAAGTCCGGAGGCTGTGCCTCCCTAGGGTATTGGGTGAGGGGACCGTATATTACTCTGTGTGTGTTAAGCACACACAGAGGAATATACTACATGTATATACATACCCTGTGCCTATCCTTGCTATATACATATATTAATGCAAGAAGATATAATGGTAGTTTTTTTGTAATACTTAAAAACATGATAAACATTTTTTTCATAGGCCCTTAAGTTTCCGTAGGCCCTAGGCACAGTAAGTACTGTACCTTTTGGATAATACGGCCCTGGGTTAGCTGCAGAGTTGGCAGCACCGGAATCCAAGCATGAGACCTCTCTATGTGTGACAAATTCGATTAAATTTCTTTTGTCGAATTTCCACCTACAAAAACCTGGAAGTAAATTGTACCTCATCCTGGACTTGTATATTCCTAGTAAATTTTATATAAATGTATTAAGATAAAGATGATTTCAGTATTATGACCACTCAGCCCAAACTAGTAATGCTTTGTTATTTGTATTGCCTTTGTACTGTTTATCATTTGGTGTTGTTCTCTGGACTAACACTGCTGAGACAAGACTGTAAAAAAGTCTGTCTCTGGCGTAGGCCAATCAGTTTCAAGGACAATGCATACATTATAAAATATGTTTGCATGTTTTAACGCAGGCATCTGTAGTTACTGCAGACGCGATGCCTTGCAATATGTGTCTATGTGGTGTTTGAACATCTTAACACCTCCTGTATGATTGCTGGCAAAGGGAAAGCCTATTCTTTTTCAACATATCATGACGTGTCCATCCTCACTCCACACTACATGGCCATGGCATCACAGTCTCGCTTTCCCCACATTATGGATACTAGTTGGTACCTCCTGCTGTTTTCTAATGCCCTCACTTCTCTTCCGAACATTTGTATGTTTACTGCCTTATCTAAAATGTTTATCTTACAAATTTGTATTTTCCTTGAAGGAGCAATATACAGCAGGCAGACTGCAGGGATCAATGAGAGTATCATGGGTGATGGATCAAAAAATTCATGACAAATTTGAAGTTGTCTGAAATAATCAGACTGTATCAAGCAACCCTAAGATGCTTTGGAGAGGAGGTGGTCAGGTGTCTCAGAGGTTTGAGCTGGCACTGGTAAGGTCCTGGATTCGAAATCAGGTCAGCACTCTGACCTCTGAGCAACGTGGCCATCTCTCTCTGTCGAGAATCGAGATTCCAGGTTGATCACGTGCGATTGAAATGCTAATTAAAAAACAAGTTCTCACTTCTGCTACGAGTTATCCGCACACCTACAAGCTTACGTTTTTTAAACTGTGACAGAAGGCTTTGTCTTCATGCAGTGATTCATAACCGGATTAAGACCACCAACTCACCACACTTGAGTGTGCAGTTTAATCACAGGCGACTGCCTGGATTTGAACTGAGGTTTTCAGTAATGCTGGCTCAAACGGTTGTGGATGTGATAATGGTGATACTGAATACAAACATAATCCAATGTATTTTTGAAGATATTTTATTTTGCATATCCATCCCAAAGCATTGCATAACATTCAAATGACTATTTGCATGCAATTTACTATGATTAAAAGAGCATGCAATTGTAATCAAAATACAAAATCCAGATGGTGGTGGTGATGATACTGAATTTGTGGATGTCAACTTTGGAGAAACTGTTGCTAATTCGAGGCCAGTTGTCATAATTTGTATTTTACATGCAGTGCGAAATGGAAAATAAATATATGAGCGTTTCTGAAAATAGCTGTCCCAACACAAATGATGATTGGTTGATTGTATGGGGCATCTTTATCTTTCTGTCACTGTTTAGTTTGGTATCATTCAAACGTGGATGTCGTCTCTCTACAATTTAGGAAGACATATTGGTTAAGTTAATCGATTTTTCTGTACGTGCCAGCATGCAGAATCTGTAATGTCAAGATATATTTGTATTGTTTTGCCGTGAATAATTTGCTCTGTGTAGGTTTTTACTCTCCACCTTCTCATTTCTGCTGCCCATAAAGCTTCCACCTCTTTTCCCCCTTCCAGTTCTTTATATCGTTCATCCAGCCTCTTTGGTTTTTTCGGTCACGAGAGCTTCAAATCAAGATTGGTCATCCAGCTTGTACTTTTATGCCTCAAACCTCTCCAGATTTGTACTCTGCCGATCAGCATTGCCTATGCCAGTTTGTGTTGTCTTGTTACATTGCCCAGACTACTGCTGGAAGGTTACGTTCATTTGCTCTTGCTAGTTGGAGCTCATTTTCACCTAAGCAAATGGCAAATGTGATTTTTAGCTTTGAATCCATAGTTAGATTGTAATTTCTAATATTATGAAGATACGCTCTGCAGTGTTGGTTTGATCTGGAACTGTTTTTGTCGTCGTTTTGTTGCCTTGCCCAAGTTTGCATTTAGTGTTGAAAAATCGTCAGGAATTTACTTATGCTATTTGTACGTATATACTTTTTATTGTTATTTACTTATTTACGTTTTAGCTACTTGCTTACCATTGCTCTACTTTGGACCCCTATCGTGTTTTGTATTGTTTGTTGTTGTAACTTGCTGATTCGCCCCTACTGGACATCTGTAAAAAAGCGATTCATAGATCATCGGATTCCTCCAGGATAAATAAACATTATGATTATGATCATTTCATTGTGATTTCTGAGCGAACAGACTCGCTTATGTATGGAATGTGCGAGAAGAAGTCGTTGTAATAACTGCATCTTTGCGTTAATTATTTTGCACCGATTCAAAGGTTCTTTAATCGCAAGAACTGTACTCTCTCAAATGGCGTATGTATTGCATCATATTTTATACCGCAGGTTTCAATAAATAATTTTTAAAAGACAGGCAGCGTTGCATGCAGCATGCAGCTGGTAAAGCGCAGCACGTGCGTGCTTTTGCAATGCCGCGTCACTTTTCCTTTGTTTCTGCAGTCGCTTTGGTGTAGGCGAGGCCCTTGTAGACACCCTCCATTGGGATGTCGAAGGTGGCGCCGTTCAATAAGGACATGCGCACCGTTCCCTTGTACGGGAGATCGATATCTGCACGACCGATGGTTATGTCGATCACCGTGGTTTTGCCTGGAGGAACCGTGACGTCGAATGAGAGGAGCTCGGTTTTCGATTCTGAATTCTCCACACCGCGCGTACTCTCGGTGCCAACGGTGAAACTAAAGCCACTTTCAACCTCTACGACATCTGGAATGCCAGCTTTGACACTGATGCTCACGGTTGCCTCCAGCTTGTTTGAGATCGACCAGGAGGAGGTTTTGGTCAAGGTCTTAGAGGATTCAATTTTATAGGTTTGGGGGACAGAACCCTTATTCTTGTAACTGATTGATTTGATCTCTTCCATCTGGACTTTTGGAAGCTCCTTGTGCAGTGTAGGGTATGTCACGTTGATCAATTCTGAACGTTTCACCGAATTGATGAACACGAAGCCCATGCAGTCGATGTCTGAACTGGCTTTGCCCTGAATTCCAAGGCAGATCCCAGAGCCGATGTCGACTGGATACTCGGTCTTTAGACCCCAGTCTGTCATCTTCACGAAGAAATCCCTGCCTTTGGTTGTCCTGAACTTGAAGGCGCCCATGCGTGTGCCAGCCCCATTCCCCCATAGCGAGAGGGACGAAAAGAGCTCCCCAGGCTGGAACACAAACTCTTTCTGAGATCCCGATGGATTGCCGTACTGTGCAGACCTTCCATCCGTCAGCCAGGCCTTCACGCACTTGATCTGCCACCCTCCAACCCACACCCACATTTTTTCCAGCGTTGCTCCATTGTTCCTCCCATCAAAGTTGAAGTCTGTTCCTCCTTGTCCTCCACAGGTGTGTATGGCCAATGGATAAGGCATTTTCTCCTTTCTTCCTGCACATTACAAGATACAGATTTGGTTAAATTATGAAAGGAATTTCAAACATTGTGATAGTCACAGTTTTGACTTTCAATACCACATTTTATTGACACATTTGTAATATTATATACTTAGTTTTTTCGGTAAAGTCACGTTGAAGAGAAACAACAAAATAATAATATATATAACAATAAAAATAAAATAAATAAAAAAACATGTAAAAAAAAACATTTGGAATAGTTATGCACTTAAAAATTTGCATGTCGACTCAGAAGTTATCGACAATTCAATAACAACTTCACTATTGCGAACAAACCGTGAAAAAGCAGTATAACATTATCATGGTGGGCAATTGTAAAAAACAAAACACTTATTGTATCAGATTATTAACTAGCAATAGCTAAATTATAGATAAAGACAAAGAAAGAACAGCAGACAATGACAAGGTTTGATACTTGACAGGTATGACTGAGGTTAAGAGAGCCTTGTCTGCAAAAGAAATACAGCTCCTCTGAAATAAATGTTGATACAACACAGTACAGCAAACGCTTTCCTCGCGGTTTTGCTGTTTTGGGTCAATTTTATTCATCGAATGTGCCCCTGTGGCTCGACCATTCGCAGGCCTCGTGGTGTTCCCAGCCTCCAGTGGGGAGGCAGTGAGGTTCAGCCGCTCATGATTTTTATTTCCTGTGGTGTACAGTACTGTACACGGATACGTATACAGTATTGTACACTACATATTGTTTTCATTCTATTGACTTTAACAAGTAGGCTGTCAGGACCAATATCATTCTTAATACCGGTTTTTTGAGTTAGATCGCGTAAATATATAAATGCGTCGTCAAACCCGCCACCACCCGACACAGCCAATTAGTAAGGTTTGTCACATAAACAAACATGCTATTGGTTACTAGTACAGCACACCGGTGTGTTAGAGAGCAAGGCCAACACACCGTGTGCTGTACTAGTAACGAAGTGGCATGTGCTGTTTACGTCAAACACCTTACTAATTGACCCTGTCGGGTGGTGGCGGGTTTAAGACAATTTTTTATATTTATGCAATCTAACCACAAAAAACCTGTATTATGAATATATATACTCTATGAGTTATATTTCAAACTAGGACATATTAATCCTATGTTACATTCAAAATATTTCACGTTTAATGTGTAGGTTGATGTAGCGTGTACATGAAACATAATGAGGGAGAGTTGTATTACAAACCGTGAACTAATCCCTAGTTTTCCTATTTGGCTTTGAGTTTGTGAATCGCGTTTTTACCCATTCCGGCTCTTTTAGATGACGTGATCTCGTCACTGAACCTATCACTCCACCTAAAACAGGTTCCTTCATTGCTTGAGGGAAGCTCACTTCAAATTAAAACCTAAAAAATGCTTCCAACAGAACAAGTGCAGTACAGCACGCATCAGTACAATACCGCAAACCCTGACTATCCGTGAGTGTTAGAATCTTGATAACGTTCACGAATGCAGAAACCTTCCATTGTAAAAAGGGGTTATGTTCCTGATATCAGTGAACATAGGTTGAAGTTGGTAAATGTTTGATAACAATGACTGCAAATATTCTCCATATATATAAAAGGCAGAGTTGTGAATATGTGTGTCTGTTAAAAATGTTTAGCGTACTTCCCGACATGCAACAAACTGGAAATTTGCCATGTGGGTACTTTACAGACTGTACACCATGCAAAAATTATAAAAATACACTTTTTTTTTTGGGGGGGGGGGGGGGGAGCTCAATAATGCATGTACGTTTTTGCACGGCAAGTGTGCTGTGATGTCAAATCTGTCACGTGACCCGCGCATGTGGAAGCGTTACGCATTGTAGTGTCGTGGTTAGCGCGCTGCGCTAAGAAACCGGCTACCCGAGTTCGATTCCCGCTCACGGCCACCACCGGTGACGATTATTTCAACCGCTTCTGGGCCTCCCGTAGGTCAACTCAGCCTCAAACGGGCAACTGCTGTGGTGTGTGAACATTTCCACTGGGGAGACAAAGGTGGCCGGGCGTGCTCCTGTCACCCACCCCCTCGTGTGCCGTGCCCGCCTTCATAGGTGCTCGCTAACAGCACTTGCCCCCGAAAGGCTATATGGGGGATTTTGTCTTTATCCTGTGTATGGGAGGGGACTTCGTAGCAATTCGCGCACTGCGCTACGAACCCGGCGACCCGAGTTTGATTCCCGCTCACGGTCACCACCGGTGACGATTATTTAACCGGTCCTGGGTCTCCCCTAGGTCGACTGAGCCTCAAACGACTAACTGCTGTGGTATGTGAACATCGCCACTGGGGAGACAAAGGCGGCCGGGCGTGGTGGATCCAAGTCCCGGGCGAAGCCGGGTAGTACAGCTAGTCTCCATATATATAAACACACAAGCACATATATCAAGTTTACAAGATCGAGTTGCACTTTTTGTGCATAGATTAGCTGTTCCAGACACTTAAAAAGTATGTCGATAGCCACGTGTGGTGGTGGTGTTTTAGGCGAGATATGCAGCACCAAGCATACTGTGGAAGCAAGGGTGGAATTAACTGTCCTTTAACATAAGTTGGAACCACCCCTCCAAAATTGCCTTCGGCCTGGTCTCTACGAGAAACATGCGCAGCAGAACTGGCCGTGGTGATATGCTGTGCAGCGCTCCTGCTTCCTTGATCAAGTTTTCTGCTTCAGGCCACTGTGCATGTGTAGTGGTTCAACTTAGATGCGGTAATTCTTGGAGGAACTTATTTTATAATACTCACAATCTCCCTTCACACACCCTACAGTCGCTTAGACTACACACACCCAAGCCTATACACAACACTAGCCGTCTAACACCGGTGGCGCTGACCGATATAGCCAAAAACTATATAACAGCGCAATATCAGGCGACGATGGCAGCGGCCACTAAGAGAAGAATGGTGATGATGACGACGACGATGGACTTGAGCAGCACGATGATGGACTTGAGCAGCACGACAGGGAATTCACTTACAATCAACAGCCCTGAGCTCTCGCTCAGGGCCCCCTTTTATGCTCCCAGTGTGGCCTTGCTCCGCCCTGGCCACGCCCCTTTCTAAGAAACTACGAGCGGGTTTCCGGGGCTTCCCCTATGTGCCCTTTCTGTGACCTTTCCCCCAGATATCCCCCTCCCGTCTATACTATCGCCTCCTGGAGTAAGTACTGTCATACATCGCAGTTACACTTTTGCGTCAGCAGCTCGCGATATTTCTCCACATACGTGATCATTGCAGAAGGTTGTGTCGCTCAAACATTGTCTTGTTAGTCACAAGCGAACTAACAGGAAACAAACACAACAACCACATAATATGACGAATGATTAATGATTCCGGATGCAAGAGAGATGATGATTAAGTTTTGCTTAGAACATTGCAGGGAAGCCAATTGGATGATGCCCCTCCACTTATGCACCTCGCTTTGAAGTAGAATGTGGAGGAAGAGCCGCTAAATTCTCCCCTCCTCCCCCGATTCGAAATTCATGGCGTCCCCTATCACCCTCCCCACCCCCATCTTTGGGTTTATGCACACCGGGTCCGAGATTATTTATTTATTTATTCATAATAAAGGTTTTTGGATTAGTTCGCGTTTATTTATAAATGTGTCGTAACCCTCCACCACCCGACACAGCCAATCAGCAAAAAAAAAGTGTCACGTTGACAAAAAGACAAATAATTCACTACTTTAGCCCACCGGTGTGTTGAAGAGTGAATCCACATTTACAGTTTGAGTACGACGTTTCGCTGGTAAATACATCCAGCATCATCGGGCAATTCGCCAGAATGGTAAAGCCCTCGCTTGCTCCCGGTTTTATATAGAGCAGCCGGGTGACGTCATCACTTAACTCTTATCATTGTCCCTTATCCCTCCCGTTTGCTCAGTCATTCGGTAGCATCGGTGATGTGCACGGTTATAAAATAATTCCTGGTGCCCGTGATTGGTGTTTGGCACGTAGCTTCTGGTTGCTGGAAAACAAGGTCCTGGATCATAAGTTGATTAAAGAGGAAGTCTGAAAGAAGGTCAGGGAATTAATGTCGATCAATTCAAATATCAGAAACAAGCAACGTGTGCTGCATCAATACTACAAAACCATGCAATCACAAGGTACCATGAAAGAGATCAACATAACTAAACTGGAACGAGAGAAATTTTAAATGACCAAGACATCCTCCTATATACGACAGCCAGGATCCCTTTCCATGATCCTTCTTCCTCTACAAAGAACATCCTGGCGAGGCTGGTTCAATCTCGGGGGCACCGGACACAAATCGCCTCTATACGGCTTAACTTTCAATGTTTTTACATTGGGGAGGGGCACCAGCCAAGGCTATCCCCTCTCGCTGCTAATATTCAAAGGGCTATTGAACCCTCTACTGAGAGCATTCTGAAACACCAACAGATGGTAGGGTGAGAAAATGGAAAGAGGAAAATAAAATCAATCTATACACGGATGACGTCGTCATCACCCTAACAGAACCAGCGTATAAAATAAACGTAACTTAATCAGAGTTGGTGCCCTTATCCCCTGCTACCCCGAAGCCAACTGAAGGGTTTTCACCCTCTCACCCTTCAGGTGGTGCCCAGTGCCAATTAAGTATCTTTAGATAATGGTCCCTTCCTGTCTCGCATCTCTCTTCAGAACCACCCCCCCCCCCCCATGGTCCAGGAAATCACTACCTCAGTGGAGACATGGACGGATATTCACCTTTCCCTTTCCAACAGGGCACACCTACTCAAGATGATGGCATTGCAGATGCTCCTTGACGGGAGGAGGCTAATCGTAGATGGTATTCTGAAATCTTTTTTTATAACGCTTCATTCACACATACCCTCATTCATATGGAATCACAAAATAGAGCAAATGGACTATCATTCCATTATGTTAATGAGGAGAGAAGGGGGCCTGGCTCTTTCAGATTTCCGAAAATAAGACAAATGAATCGCTTTCAGAACGTTAGACACTGCATCAACTCGAAAACGAAAGGGACATGGAAAAAGTGTGAAGAAGGCTCGGTGAGCCCCTGGTCATTTGCTGTAGTTACCTATGCCCATATCAAAGATAGATGCCGTGTCCTAAACCATTATGGATGGTTTCTCACACCTTGGGGAGATGTAACAACAGGCGAATCTCATTCCCCTCCATAGGTAGACAATTGCCTTTGTTGGGCATCCAATCACTAACAATAGAATGCACAAGGGCTAACTGGCCTGGCTGGAGAGCGACAGGACTGGAAAGTGTAGGGACCTTCTGAAAAACGATACCTAAGATGAGGGATAACATCTCCAAAGCTACAAACACAAACTTTGACCACAGCACTCACCCCATCTTAGATGGTCTGGTGGACAAAATGAAAATAAAAGTTTCTGCATGTATACCACTTTACTGTTGGAGATAGAGACCAGGTTAGAGCCAAAACTAGAAAGTTGAGAGCGAAAAGCTGCTGGGAAAGGACATCCCTCACCAGAAAAGGACTCAAATATAGTTGGGGCAGGACAACAGGCCCCAGGCCTCTTCCGCTAACAATAATTTAGTTCAAATTCAGGCATGGGTCCTACCTGACCAATGACAGGAGAGCCACATTAATCAATTCCTCTTGTAATTGCCCTAGATGCCCGCAAGGCATGGTACAGACGTAACAAAATGCCTTCTGGACATGCGCAGATATTGTAGAATTCTTCGAGGATATAACGGATTATTTTAATTGGATCTCGGGCACAGAGCCGAGATTCTTAGTGGACTCAACTTTGCGGAGCTTGAAACCAAGAGGCCAATTGGGATACCAACATGCGTTCCTCCAAACCTTCTATAATGTAGAAAGACCATATGGGTGAATTGGAAAATCATGAACCCCGTCTTGGGGTCTGTGGTACAGCATTCCCCTTGTTTTGGCGGGAATGGAACACCTTAGCCAGGAGATGAAAGGAAAATAATTGGCGTATGAGGCTATGTGGTCCCCATTTTTAGTGAACCCTGTGTGAATAACCAGAAGAATAGTGGATGGGGCGCGGGGAAGAACTCTTGACGCTTAACCTTTGTAGTAGGCACCGTTGCTCCTGGGGGAAAACAAGAAGGATAACCCCAGACATTGCGCTTATGTTACTTTATTTCCTGTCTAGTTTGGTTAAATTATTCTCCTTCCTCCCCCTTTTCCTTATTCTTCCCTTCCCAGTTAGTATGCTGCTGCCGTTCGTTGCCTCTACTTGTGGTAGAGCAGCGAGCAAAAGGGCCTTCAGACGGGCCCCCATTTGAAGGTTTATTGTACCGGGTTCGACACACGTTCGTAATTTGTATCTCCCTCTGTGATGTCTGTGTTCTGAGCTCTTGATCACAAAAATAAATCATGTATTGGATAAATAAATTGTGGACGATTGCCCAAAGACATTAAGAGTCGTATTTTTCTTCTTCATGTGATGCAGTGTGGATAGCAAAGAGAGAGAGAGACAGGAATTATTGTGCAATCCAAAGGTTGAACACGAAATTTAACACTCTTCTGAAATTCGTGATCCGCCAGGAAGTCTGTGTTGTTGGCCTGACTGGATGTGCTTCACATGTTTTTTCAGGTTTGTTGAATTCTCGTCTCTCATCTTTTTGTTGTATTTACCTCCGTGATTTGTTCTTGACACCTGATGAAGATCGCTTGCGTTGTGGTCGAAACGTCGTGATTGTTTTTGTTTTAATATAATTTTATTGGATTTCCACATACGTGACTTTACCGAAAAAAACAATGAGTAGAGATAGAGAGAGACAGGAAGAGAGCAAAAAGAGAGAGGAAGCGCGAGATTTGTGCAATCGACGTCACGTTTAGACAAACGCGATCAGTGGATTTGTCAGTATAGTTTTATTGAACATTCAAACCAACGTTGTATAATTGTAACTTAAATTCACATCTTTATATTCAGGCGTTGCTATCTGCTGATGCTGTTGCCCGTTGTTTTTTCATTGATTTTGAGGCAGTGCTTTACAGACCGGATTTGTAATTAAAAGAAACACAAACATCCGAAATCAGCATCTTGTTTGCCAACATCACACCAGGCAGGCAGGGTCTCAAGGGGTGCCAGCTCAGAGGCACTTACCTGCGAGTCACCTGTCCAACACACACACCACACCACCTGAATTGTTAATAACGAGACCAGTCAGGAGTAACCCACACACTCACCTTAAGGTTCTCTTCCCAGAGCATGATCTTCTATCCCCAGAACACTGTCATTTATACTACTGTTGCATGGGCCACGTGACCCAGCCAGAAATTATAGATCGCTTCGCGTCACTCACGTCAGATTAGTTTATGTAAATATATTTAAGCATATTACTCATACATTATTAATATTGAATCTATCATACATATACATTTTTCAAACGTGAACCTCTGTTTTATGATGACGAGGTGTAGTGAATCAGTGAGTGCTGTATTATGTATCAAACAAGGTTCTTCCAACGTTATGGAACAACCTTGTTTCCTCGCCAAACATCGTTCACCTTCCCTTAAAAATATTCTGAAGCAGAAGGTTAGTAGTGCCAGATACATCAGCCACATTTGGAAATGTGTTTTGTAACATTGATCCTTACTCACCGTGTAGCATTATTTTAATGTCAAACTAAAATGTAATTGAGGTACGTTATTATCTTGGTGTGGTCTGGAACTGTTGTTGTACATATCCGGTAATGGTCTGGGACAGTTATTGTTGTTGTCTTGGTGTGGGATTGTTGCTGTTGTCTTGGAGTGGTTTGGGACTGTTGTTCTCTTGTTTGGGACTGTTGTTATTCTTGTCATGGTGTAGTCCGGGACTCTTGCTGTTGTTGTTGTTTTGCCCCAGGCTTGCATTTGGTGTAAAATAAATTGGCAGGAATGTATGTTCTTGCGCAATTTGTACATCTATAGGGGCGTATCTCACTTAATGAGCATTCTATCTCTGATAATTCGCAATAACGAGCGATTTTAATCGAGATTAATTTATTCCAATACGAGCAACACTCTCACTGAAATACTTTTAGTTGCAAAGATGATAATCTTAAGCAGCGCTGAACAATGTTTAGCCGAAACATACCCCTCGTGTTCCTCAAAAGAGAGCTCATTATATAACGCATGTTGGGCTGAAAAACGAGTTCTATAAATCCTCGTTGGGAAGGATTTCCTATATTTGTATTCCCTTGGTGTACCCAGAATATCCATACTGACTCTCAAAATACATTTTCAAAAGGACCTCTCTAAGTTTCACAGTAGGGAGCAATGTAGCTGCTCTGTGTGATCCCATTTGAGTAATTTGCAGATACATTTTCAACATTTGAATGTTCGGCCAAACCAGTAACATTAAAAAAAAATAATTGGTAAAGAAGAAAAGCGGAGAACTCACAGGAAACCCATCCAACAGCGGAGGGGAACACACAAACCCCCCGCAGAAAGGCACCAGATTCAGAAACCGAACACAGAACGACTCAGCTGTGAGGCACAGTGGTAACACCTTATGCCTCACAGCTGAGTCGTTCTGTGTTCAGTCGTAATACTTGTGCCACCCCGCCTGTCTAATTGAATACACGAATTGATTCGAATTGGGAAGAAAAAAAGCCCCCGTGCAATGAATTGGAATTATGACTAAAGTTTACCATCAGAATGCCTAAGTATTATGTAGAACATTTAGTAAAACATATAACCCATAACTGGTTAATTACATTAATCTGCTATACCAGTCGTTCCCAACCAGTGTGTTTGATGTGTACACCTCCCAGCCCTATCACCTGTCCCCATTCCATGACCAACACATAATCTACTGCGAATCATCCCTAACATTACTTTACAATTCCTGTTCGTACCCATTCTGGAGATGGTACACCAGACAGCCACTAACAGAAGATTAATACAGTAATTTCTCCGAACGTTTAGGCTCCCCTGTCCCAGAGGGTCAGTCCACTTTATACCCAACAACTCGTTTGGTTGGATCGACTAGTTTCTACTTCTAAAAAAACGTTAAAATAAACAGACCATAAAATCGAGACGTTACAAATAAAAAATAAAATTGTGTATCAAGCCATATGACACAGTACAAATAAGGAAGATATGCACGTGTAAGATACACGATATATAAAATTAGTCAATGCAAATGAGACAAACAGCAGAGACAGAACATACGAGTCAGGGCATTTTAGATGAGTTATTACGAATTGGATATTAGATGGGCAAAGGGAATAGGTTGGACATGTTAAACAGTAACAATTGACAGCGAATAAAAAAAAGAATAATCATGAGCATCCCCACGCTGAGAAACCTGCAAAGAAAGCAATCTTGCGAGCAAGCTGTTACGAGTCGCAAAAACATGTTGTGTTAAGCAGACGTGTTGCGTAAGAAGTACCTATATATATTCTTAGTTCTTTCGGTAAAGTCACGTTGAAGGGAAACAACAAAATAATAAAATATATATAAAACAATACAAATTCTCACGACGTTTCGACCATAACACAAACGGTCGTCTTCAGGTGTGTCGGTTTGCATAAATTTATTTATTTTTAAACGGTGTATTTATTTATAATAAAAAAAACGTTAGCGCCACGCGCAGCGATTTGGCAGTTTATTTAGACGGACCAGTCCATCCATGTTCTGAAAAGAGGAGGGGGGAGACGATTTTTTTTTTTTATGTATGCTGTCTGAAAGCAACTGTAAGCGTGAACAATCATTTACGACCTGAAATGGTTTATCAAATCTTTCCAATGATTGCTAAGCCAGAATCCATCTTCTCGGTTCAAATTGTCTCTGTGCTTGTATATGTGGATAGCCTCATGAACGAATCTCTCATGGTAGCCAGATGGCTTACAAATAACCTCTGTCTTGGAAAAGTCAATGTCATGTGAGCCTACTGAATTATAACAATGATCTGCCACGGCCGAAGTGTTGGTCCTACCGTGTTTAAGGTCTGCTTTGTGTTCACGAATGCGGTCCGAGACATGGCGTTTGGTTTCTCCAATGTAACTACTACCACAGAGGCAACTTAGTTTGTAGACACCAGGGTATTGTATGTCCGGAGTCACATCTTTTACAGATGGAACCAGATCACGGATTTTATGTAATGTGTTGAAACGGACCTGGATCTTGTGTTTATTCAAGATTTTGGAGATCTTTTTTGTGATCCCCGCAATGTAGGGTAAAGTTATGGTTTTGAAAGGCTCCTCAAGTACCAATATAGTTGTCTCTTCTCTTCCATCAGCTGTCAACAGGTGGTTGACGACGAGGCTGAATGAAATAGTTCCTTGATTTTCGGTCACTGGACACGACATTCGCTATGCCGTGAGGTATGGTGAATTGAATATTGGCTTGGCAACATTGATCTGCAATATTTAACGAATAAATAATAAGTAAATAACCTTTGATTTAAAGCTTTTGTGACTGCAGTAATTCATATTCTTAGCTCTTTCGGTAAAGTCACGTTGAAGGTAAACAATAAAATTATAATATATATAAAACAATCAAAATTCTCACGACTTTTCGACCATAACACAAACGGTCGTCATCAGATGTGTCGGTTAGCAATAATTTATTTATTTTTAAACGGTGTATTTATTTATTTAAAAAGGTCAGCGCCACGCGCAGCGATTTGGCAGTTTATTTAGAAGGACTAGGTCCATCTATGTTCTGAAAAGAGGAGGGGGGAGACGAAAAATTTATGTATGCTGTCTGAAAGCCACTGTAAGCGTGACCAATCAATTAAGACCTGAAATGGTTAATCAAATCTTTCCAATGATTGCTAAGCCAGAATCCATCTTCTCGGTTGAAATTGTCTCCATGCTTGTATATGTGGATAGCCTCATGACGAATCTCTCATGGTAGCCAGATGGCTTACAAAGAACCTCTGTCTTGGAAAAGTCAATGTCATGTGAGCCTACTGAATTATAACAATGATCTACCACGGCCGAGGTGTTGGTCCTACCGTGTTTAAGGTCTGCTTTGTGTTCACGAATGCTGTCCGAGACATGGCGTTTGGTTTCTCCAATGTAACAACTACCACAGAGGCAACTTAGTTTGTAGACACCAGGGTACTGTATGTCCGGAATCACATCTTTTACAGACGGAACCAGATCACGGATTTTATGTAATGTGTTGAAACGGACCTGGATCTTTTGTTTATTCAAGATATTGGAGATCTTTTTTGTGATCCCGCAATGTAGGGTAAAGTGATGGTTTTGAAAGACTCCTCAAGAGGGTCCTTCTTCATGGTTTGAGTGACACCAACATCACGTTTCACAACATGAAAATAATAAAGAATTAATGTAATAAAAAGATTAAATAACAAATTAAAACATCAACAATTTACCTTGTAAGGGAACTTACCAAAACATCTGCTGCATGTTGGAATGACTGGAAAGGTGGATGCGGAGGCGTTATTGTTGTTACATGCGCCCTCATGCCCCATTCTGTCTGTACGGGGTGCACGTTCATCCGTCATGCACTGTGCCGACTGCGGCTTAGCTTTCGAGATTTGTCGAGATTGGGAGGATTCTGAATTATTTGTTCACAGGCAATCAGAGGGAAGGGGTACAATTAGTGAGAGAACAATCTGAGGCCCCTGCATTTTCTTTACATCTCCCGTAGTTGTAAATAGAGCCACATACATAACTAAACTATGAAGTTATACAGGCTACAAACATGAATCACAGCCCAGGGTAACTTTGCAAGTGTGATCCAGATCAGTCAGTTACTCTACGCCTTGGCCAAGGTGATCTACAAATTACGACAAGATACAATTTAGCAGGGCCTCCACTGTACAAGTTTACAATCTGATGTTCAAAAACTCCACTTTGTGCCTATTTAACGTGACCACGAAGCATGCCAATATAGGAGACAGGTAGAGCTTACATCGTAATGTCCATACCGAGACTGTGGTATGATTTTACGTCATTGACCACAGCTGTCTGTGCCATCACACACACACACATCAGACTGTCAGTGTGGAATGAATGCAATGCAGGAAGTTACAATTCCAATGACGGCATCATGATGTTTTCTTTTCAGGCATGAAAACGAAAACATTCTGTGCTCTCCCCACACTCACGGAAACACTTGCTGAGATACCCGCTGAGATACTCGCTGTGATAATCACTGAGTGACTCAGACAGGAGCAGAGCCATGTCCACCCCAGCTGCTGCTGCTACATCTGAGGAACTCATCTGCTCCATCTGCCTGGGTGCGTTCCACTG